TTCCAATAGGGTCCAGCGAAAGAGCACGCCGCATTGTCGCTCCTGAACGCACTGCAAATATAGGTGCCATTACTCGCGAGTTAAAAGGGTCTTGTTCAGCGATCTTCGGCAATTCATATGGATATGCATCATTTGATATGCATCCAATGCAGGATTACCGTCCGTGTTAACAAAGCCTAGATTTGTTGCAGCATTCTTGTTGCTAAAGTCAGCATAAGCAATCTCAAACTCTTAGTAGTTTCTGCTCGAATTTTTTGCACTTCTCATACCAACTTCTACTTTGATTTTGAACTGCGCGAAACATTGGTCGTAAAAGCTTTATTTTGTTGGTAGCTATGTCGGAACTGATAGAAGCAAAATTTGGATAATAATTTCGCCATCCAGAAAATTAAATTTTTTTGTTGATTTTCATCGAGTCAAAATCGAAATCTTTTAAAGATGAAGTCAAATGCAAGTAAACAACACTAATCGTAAAAATTCGGATGACAAACGGTATTTCTAACATGTATCAGTCGAAGTATGCTGTGAGCAATAAGCAGCACTTGGTTCAGCGAAAGGATAACAGGCAGTTGACAACGCTTCACGATATGCAGCTCGGTATGGGCTCATCATACCTTCACTGTAATAATTATCAGCATTTATCGACGGTGTTGGAGGCTGGATTGTGAAGACGAATGGTGCATTCGCTTGAGTTGAGCAATAACTTGCCTGTAAAGTGGTTCTCATTAGCAGCAGACGACTCGAAAATTAAACTCTGCAGTTGCTGTGAAAATGTTTCGTTCCTGGAACTATGGCACAGAGAGGAAATTGATCGCAAAAAGATTTGATCTTCACCACTGGATCTAATGCATTATTCAAGATGATTGTTAAAGATCCTGAACCAATCTCATTTGGGTTATAAAATTCTTAGCATATAATACCAACTAATAAAGCATCAATCTCAAAATGCAGCGTTCTGTTCAAAGCCCAGCCGACACCGCAATTTCTCAAATGCTCGAATACACTTGACGTCATAGATGTAATTAACACCGGCACTTCAAAATGGCATTTAGGCGAATGCTTAAGCTGAATGTGAACCAATCAAAAACAGTTCATTTTAAGCCAAGATGGATTGTGATGTAAGAAATGAGCAGCTGGTAATATTGCCTTTTATTTTATGTAATAACAGAGAGGCATAAACTCGTAATGCGTTAGACTGATGATTAAATAAATATTTTATATGTGGTGTGCGCGACACATCGCTGATCACTCATTGCTATTTCAGTCCAATTTGGAATGTTAACTCAGTTTATGACCTTTATGATAATAAACAATCCATTAAAGTTATCCCGATTTTCGCTAACATGATTGCAGTAGATATTCAAATGAAAACAAATTGCAGCACATACATACATGAGCGTTCCGAGTTTGAAAA